GGTTCCCTCCTTGCTCCAGAACTTTGGACATAAGAGAAACTCATGCACATGGAGAAAACTGGGACATTTTAGAGGCATTAAGGAAAAACTGATCAATTTACCTATAAGATCACTCATTTCTGAGAAAGCGAGAGAGAGAGAAAAAGAGAGAGAGAGAGAGAGAGAGAGCCAGTCCTTGAAAGGATTTTGGAAGATTTCATTTACTGTTTTTCTATATAGAATATATATAGGTGCAGGTTAAATTTTCATGAAACTAGAATACATAATTTAGTATTTTTTGTTTAGTCCTAGAGAATTAAAAGTTCTTTAAAACAGTCCTAGGAAGGGCTGGAAATATCCCGTACATGTCAGTCCTCCCCTGCTCCTTCTGGCCTTCACTGAGGCCTCTCCTGTCCCTGTGGTTCCCCAACTGGATCCCCAGACTTGGGTTCCACTCACTGCCACAAGACAGCCGAGAGTCCCTCAGGGCTTCTGTGTCCCTTGTATTAAAGGCCTTCCCCAAAGCTGATGGCTCCTGAAGTTTGCTCTGATGGCTGTTAGGAACCACTCTTCTGTTGTCTTCTCAGAAAGAACAAGGAGGCAGGAAGACAGGCAGCATGGCTCAGAGGTTCAGAGCACAATCCTGGGGTCAGGCAGGCCTGCTCCGAGGCCCAGCTTTACCTCTTACTGGCCTTGCACGCTGAGCAAGTTAGCTCATTGACCCTAAAGGGAGCTGTCAGAGCATCTAGGACATGAAGGCTTTAGGGCTCAGCCTGGGCCTATGGCTGGCTTGGCGGTTATTCTGGGCATCATTGCTGCTATGAGAGGTGACAAGTGGACACTGAAGTTCCTGTCCCCATGGCATTGTGTTTCCATGCCTTAAAATGGGCTTACACCCATCACTCTGCAGAGGAAATGTCTAAGGCCAAAGGGCAGCATGGCCTGACAGGTTTCCCTGTGCATTCAGTTCCCAGGTTACTCACAGTGTCTAGTCTGCCTTCTCTGGCTGAGTTCCTTGAGCTCTCTCTGCTAGTGCACTGTGAAGGGCACATGCTCCCTTTCTTCCCACCTGCTAGACAGTGTCAAAGGTGCACAAGGGACCAGGTACATATATCCACCCTGGATGGTCCTGGAGTGGAAGGCTCGGGAAGGCTGGGCTTTGCCTTTATAAGGTGGTGCAGAGCACACAACAAAAGGAGTCAGGATCTGGCCAGAGAGAAACCTGGTCATGGAAGGGCCTCTGGCCCACATATCTCAGGTTCCTGATGCAGCTCCCTGTAGGTGGGAGGCCTATCCTCAACTTGCATCCACTCAATTCTGACCAGCCCTGCACTGACTAATGTCCTCCTTCAGGACAGACATGGTCCCAGGCAGAGGGCCTGAGATGTGAAGCCAGGAGGCATAGGGTGTCTAGCTCCAGGACCATGGGCACATGATCCCCATGCTATTGTAACAGGAACAATTTCTGCCACAGGGGTGCAGGGAGACACAGGGCCGAAGGTGGGCCCGGTGCACATCAGCTGTCTTCTCTCTCAATCGTGATGAATACAAAGATAGGATTTGGATTCTGTCCAATGGGACTTCATAAAAATTATGATGGTTCTTTCCTCTTATTAACAATTTTCAAAAAGCCACGAAGTCTTGATTGCTAGAATGAAGTGGAGTTAAAAGGCTCCCTCTCTAGAGACCACCTTTTTCACTCATCTCATTTCTCAGGAAAGGAAACTGAGGCCCAAGGTCACCTATAGCAAGCAGCATTGTTCCAAAGACTGGAGGGAAATTAATGTGCATAGCATCACAGTCCTTTGACCTGGAAATCAAGAAGTCACACCACAATGACAAAGGAGAAAAAAAAAAAAAAACGAGAATTATCCGAGCCATTGTTAATTAACTCACTTCTCTTTTGCCCTTTTCTTATTGTTCCTGGAAGCAATTATGTCGCTCTCACCCTCTCTCCCACCTCTAGCCACTGCATAAAACTGTCACAGATTAAATCAAATTATTCAGCCACTTCATTAGGGAGACTCCAGCTTTCATTCTCAGGGGTATTTTCGCTCTTCTCAAATAAAAGCCCTTTCCTGATGAGTTAACTCCTTCCTGGGGGCTCTGGGAGATTCGTGAGCAGCCACCAAGGGGCCATGGAGGCCTGATGGGGACTTGCGGGGCTCATAGCACAAATGCAGCCCTCCCTCTTGGAAAGTGAGCTCCGACCACCAGGAACACAGAAGAGTGGCGTGCTGGAGTCAAAGAAGTGTTAGAGTCACAGGCCCCAGGTCCAACGACTGCCTTCCCTTCTCGTCTCAAAACTTTAGGTATTTGTCTCTTACTGGAGAGACAAATCTGAAAAATGTAGGTTTAAACTCCCTTTTTGTCTTCATGTACTGGATTCCAGGAACTCCAGTAAAACAGCACACAATAGCTTGAGAAAAACTGTAAAGTTACGGGGAAGGAGTCTGGTGACCACAAAAGCCTTTTCCAGCTATTTTCTGGCACAGTTGTGATGCAAGGAGAAGAGAAGCGATGGGATGTTATGGCCAGGGCCTGCTGCTGGGAAGAGGCTCCAGGAGAGAACGGAGTGGGAGAGAGGCTGGCCAGCTGGAAGGAGGGGCTGCTGGGGGGCTGCTGAGGGGCTAGAGAGCAGATCTATGGCTTGTGGTATTAGGTTTACATGCTGGGGCAAGTTATAAGGACAGAAAGGTGCTGTCAAAGGAGCCCCAGTCAAAAGACTATCGGTGCTTGGTTTCAGAGTTGTCTCTACGTACTGAGGGCTTTCTCTATAAGCCCCAAGGCCTCAGTGATAGATAGAGAGAGTGTGGGACTGGGGCAACTGGTAGATCTTGGGGAGCAGCAGAAAAGGACAGAGCAGCAATGGCTTTTCTTTGTGCAGCCCGTGCATATCATACGCATGCTCTATGTAGAGCTGGGCTCCGCACAGGTGAGAAGGCTACGTGCGTGTTTCCTCCCTGCACATGTCCAAGGTGTGGCTCCTATGGCTGGTAGGTTTCCATGGTCCTGCCTCTCTCATAGTGCTGGTTCATGGCAGGGCTGGGCAGAAGCCCTGAAAATATACACTATGGGGACTGTGAGTCTCAGTCACCCAGCTATAGTTTGCCAGGCTGGGAGTTAGAGACAGGCTAGATGCATCCATTTCCTCTGGAAGAAAGGAGAATGCTGTATAACCTCTTCAGGCTGCAGGACGGGCCTGATAAGTGAAGCTGTCCTTATGGGGTGCTATGAAGGACTGGCCAAGTCCTGATCTGCAGGAAGCCTGCCTCATCTAGTCCCCAAGATCCACAAGGCCCAAGAAGATGGGGTTCCTGCTTAACTTCAGACATGAAGCTCTTCTGGCCTCACTTTTGTGGTGCATCACAAGTGTTTAATTTTTGCAAGTCTTGTGATTACCTTGAGAATACTATGCCATATTAGTTTCAGTTTTAAATGATAACTTGTTCATGAAAATATTTAGAATATATGAGCTTAAAAAAAGCCATTCAACATGATTGATCTTGTTTCTTAATACACTAAGAATCCCACTTCACACCATCCTCCTTCTACTTCATCTTGAAGGCCTCACTGTCTGGAATAGCATAGACCATTTAGTACCAATACAGATGACTCTACTTGAGATTTTTCAGCATAACATTGGTGCCAAAGTCATATACATTGAGTAGAAATTATACTGTAAATTTTTCATTATGATATTTTTCCAGGTCGTGATCACAAGGGAAACAACCCTCCACCTACAGTATACTGTGTCACCAAGCTGTGACGCTCTATAGGTTTGGTGTGGGTCGTAGGCATACTTGGACTCATAGTATCTTCAGTGTGCAGTGGGTTTACAAGGACATGGCCCTATCCTTATAAACTCTGTGTCCTTATAAACACAGAGCACTGCAGAAGGATCCCAGGCTGAGTGAGAGTGGCCTGGCTGACTTTGGGACTCCTCCAAACTCATGAGGTTTTGATCCCAGATACAACACAAAAGAGATGGGGCATGTTTCTTGTTGGCCTGGACACTGGCTGGGGATTGGACCCATCTCCTCCCTGTCCCTACAGGCAGGATACAGCCTTGTCCATGGATGTGCCCTTCTTCTGTGCTTTAAGCATCCTGTGAGGACCCAGCTTCCTAAGATTCCTTTCTGTAATCATCTGTGTTGCTTTCAAAATGCCTGTGTGGGGGCCCAGAGACAGAGTGTTTCATCTTTAAGGACAGCCAGGGAAGAGACTAGGAATGGCTGTAACTGCTGTGTATTTATGCCAAGCCATGATCTAATTTCTGTGCATGCTTTAATCTCTGTTAATTTTGCAGCCACAAAACAAAGTTGTTCCATTAGCCTCCAAAACTGGCAGGAAAAGGTGTCCAACTTACACTTTTCAAGTTGACCAGCCAGCTTGTAACTGCAACAGCAGAATTCTAACTGGGATGGATGGGCTCTGGGAGGAAAAACTGTTATGGAGCAAGGTGGAAATTAAGCATCAGCAGTTCAAGTCCCAGCCCCGCTTGACCTGCCATGTGACTCTGGACAGGTCACTTACCCTCTCTGAGACTCAGCTGCCTTCCCTACTAACTGAGCTTAGGGATGCAGGGTCTCTGCAGTGACCAAAAGTAACAGTAGATGTGAATGCTTTAGCACGTCAACAGGTAGCAATCCCAAGCATTGCCAGGAAGTTGTCCTTCCCATTGCTTTTTGAAAGCATACTGAAAAATTTACACAGACAAGAAAACAATGTAGAGATAGGGCCACCTCCACATCCCTTTGGGTTATTATGTCACATGGCTCCGAAGTTTTGTGTGCCCTGAATTCATGCAGTGAGGAAGCTGATGGCTAGGGCTCTCAGTACAGACCCTTTGAGGCCATCTGAAGTGCTGTTCAGCTTCTCACGTGAATCTGCCTGCTGTCCGCGGTGAGGGTGCAGAAGAATGGAAACTTCTACCACCAACAGCATTTGTTAGCAACTTCCTTCTCTGTGGTTTTTCTCTGTCATTCCCTTGATAAAAGAACTCAAGCTGCGCAAATGTAACCAACACAAATCGCGTCTTGACATGAAAACAGCCGCCTTTCAAGAAGGAGGCTGACTGAGGGATGATGCACAATGCACTCTGAACTGGGTCACTCTCCACCTCAAGGGCTCGGGGTGCAGCTGACTTTCCGTGTGTGTCCTTGTTCTACAGGCTTCGAGCATCTCTCGGAGCTCCAGAGGAGAGAGACATGGGCAACAGCATGAAATCCACCCCTGCGCCCCCAGAGAGGCCTCTGCCCAGCACAGATGGTAAGTCTGACTTCTTCTTTGGTGAGATGTTTAACTCTGTCCTATGTGGATGGTGCTCATTTTGCTAACTTGAATTCATTATACCCCACTTTGCTTGTGGTTCAAATATTTAATAATTGAAAATTTAAAAGAATTGGGTGCTTGGTAGCAATGCTAAGCTGTGAACGTTTTGAGATGACTCTCTGAGATTGGCTGCTTTAGTACCTTTATTTTACAGGTGTAGAGACAGAGCCCCCACCCCATGTAGCTTGTGTCATCAGCAAGTTACAGAGCCCGACACCCAACCAGGACCATCTGAATCTGAAAGCCAGACCCTCCCTCACCGCACATTGCCAACCTGTTACATAATGTTATCATCTGCACAGGCAGCACTGCAGGAGTTTTATCAGTGTTACTCTACTGAGCTGGACTGTGCCTACCATGTCTTCCGGGGAAGAAAGAGGTCCTTGTGTTTCATTAGTAGGATGGCATGGTGCCAAACATTCTGCGGTGGGGTTCCAGGTTAACCAGTGGTGGCAAGAGACCCTAAAGTACAAAGAATCCTTCAGCAAGTGGCCAGAAAAGAAGAGGGGCCATCAACAAACAGCGAGCAGAGGCAAAGGCTGAAACTCAAACCCCCTGTGCTCTGAGGTCAGCTATGCTGGTTGTTTCCGACATCCTTACTTTGTTTGGGAAGATTCCAAGTGCAGGCAGTGTGTGTGTGTGTGTGTGTGTGTGTGTGTGTGTGTGTGTGTACCTGTGTGGGTCCTCTGGGGGGCTAGAAAGAGACATCATGAAGGCCAGGTGTCTACTAGGTTATTCCTAGGGGGATCTCAGGCCACTTCTGGCTCCCTCACAGCATCTGGGGCCTGGTGTGCATCTCGCAGCAGAGGTGACCAGTGCCTAGTCCCCCTCTTCCCCTGTGGCACTGCGTGAGAAGTTCACTAGCACAAATGGGTGCTCTGTCTGCTGAGCTAGGGCCCAACATGAGCACGGCTCCCGCCTGCTTCTAGCCACGGCTCCATCCTTGGCTTTTGACCCCCTTTACAAAGCAGCCTTCTTCCTTCTGCCCAAATGGAGCTATACCGTTGCGGAAACAATGCAATCTCATGGCTTTCTGATGCCATTGTGAGACAGAAGACAATGCCCCCCACATGCTTCTAAGTCAGACTCAGGCACTCACAGTGGCTCTTGTTGTCCTAGCCCGGTGACTCCCCCCTGCAAACCAGAATATTCCCAGGTCCAGGAGATGGGCCCCTGCTATAAAGTGGAGCAGAGTGTGTGAATCCTCAGGCTGCTGCCTCCCAAGCAAAGCTCAGCAACTGGGCTGGGCTCCTCCCCCTCCTTAGACTGGCCCTGGTCCTGGCCTCCTCCTGGTCATAACCGCCACTAGAAAACTGCCACCGCAGTACCTCGTGCCCAGGTCAGCTCGGGAGGCACCCAACGCTGAACCCATCATGCCTTGTCCCCTCTCAGCCTGGAGCGGAGGGGCGGGCAGCATGCTTGAGCAAACCCCATGAAAACACCAGCCTCGGAGGACTTGCTCATTTGCCTTTATTTTTTAAATGCAAATTGTCATTAAGTAAGTTTTTCTTTTTCCATGATGTGGGAGGGAGGTCACCTCTAAAAAAGAGGTGGAGGGGTCTCCCCTCCTCCGCCCCCTGATTAAGAGAATTCCCCAGGTCATACCCAGTTTGTAATCCAGGCAACCACATCAAGCATTGCTGGGTTATTTTTTTCACCCTTACCTCTGAAAAGTTTCCTTTACCATCATTCCTTACTTTGTTTCCTCTTTTCTCTTGCACGTACTGAGTAAGGGGAGAGAAGTTGGTGGGATGGGTGCTGCACTATTTAGTTCCTGTCTATGTAATGCAGAGGTCTAGGGCTTTCACAGAAGGAGCTCCTACGCAGCTACACTGGTTCAGCTCCTCTTTCCTTCCAAGAGACAGTGCTTGGCTTGCAGGTTGCCTTACACCATCACACAACTGAACTCTGACAGTAGTCTGAGTGACAAGAGGTTGAAGGCACCAAAGCCCCTGGCCCTACACAGGCAGCAGGAGAAGTCTGACCTCAGGGCCACTAGCTTGGATTTTAGATAAATGAGTTTCCTGGGCTTTGGGGAAATCTTTTTCCCTGAAACCAAGGCTGTGAATACCTTGGAATATGGCTTTGATCATGTATTTTCTCCTACATCAAGCTTTCCTTATTATACTAGCTCCAGAGACTAAACGGCATGGAAATAGCAGGACCTGATGAGATAGGGCCAGTTTTAGAGGTGAAAGATCCCCATAGAGTTGGTGATATCCCTTGGAAGCCATATGACCTTGTGGATGCTGTTCAGCTTCCCCTGGGAACTCAGTGGGAGCTAGAGATGGAACTTCTACTCTCTCCCACCCCACAGCTCACTGGCAAGTGAAGGTGTGAAGACTTTCAAAACCCTCTGGGAGATCTGCCTGCACCGGGTTCTGTCTACATGGGCATCCCCCAAAGTGGAAGAGGGTACAACTAGCTAGTCCATGGTTTGTCGTCAGGTCTTGCCAACTAGTGAATCTTTTATATATCCTATACTGTCTCCATGTTCCTCCTCAGCACCTGACCAGGCAGTACCGAGCTGTAGGGAACTCCCAGCAGAAGAGAAACAGCATATTTCCACCTTACAAACACACTCAGTTACTCTGCTGTGGCCCTCTCTGCTGCCTTTCCTTCCTTCTGATCATGCTGACCTATAGTAAGACTTCACCACCAGAGAGAACCATGCAAGCCGAACAGCATTCAGATCCCTTTTCACAATGCCAGCATGGAAATCACACCCTTCATACATTGATACAGCTGCCTGCCATGGAAAAAAAACGGTTGAGTTGGGCATCATGGAGGAAGAGGATAGAGAAATCATAAGATTCGGCTTGGTATGGTCTTCAGATCAAAACATCAGAATTCCCAGGGGAGCAGGGAGCAAGCAGATCTGCCTACCACAGACCTGTGAAGGTAGTGGTACCAAGATACATTCTTTACTGATCCCCTGGAAAAGCTTAAGCCCCTAAAGTGGGAGGACCATAGGCCAGCTCTTAGTCCTGCCTCTGCACAAATTGCAGTGAGAGAAGTGAGTTTCTCCCTAGTTATCTGCTGATTCTGTTGAGAAATGGGAAGGACTGCAGAGTGACCCAGTACTCACATGCCAAATAGTTCCGAACGCTTCACATGCATGAACTTACACATCACTCTGGCAACTATATGTCACATACCAGTTACATGCTATATGTGAATTTACACGTATAAATTCTTAATTCTGATTAAGAATGATCCCATTTATCCTGATCCCATTTATCCCATTTATCCAAATTATCCCATTTATTCAAATTATCCCATTTATCCAAATTTGCTGTTGAGGAAACTGAGGCACCAAAGGTGAAATGACTTCCTGAATCCATCTGGTTGGGAAGGGAACAGCAGTGTAAAACTAGGTGGCCTGAGCCTAGTATCCTTCTTTTCACCATCACATCATAGCCAGAGAGGGCCAGCTCTCTGGAGGCCTGCGTACCATGCATGGCGGAGGACAGGCTCTCTAGGGTGAGGACAGTGAGCCTTGTCAGCACGCTCAATGGAACAGACACTCCTGTGCTTAGCAAAGGATTCCATCGACAGGTGCCTGCATCAGATCCTAGGCGAGATTCTGGTTTCTTATTTGGGTCTCACACACTGCAAGAGCAGGGGAAGGTGTTTGGTAGACCATGGTCATTCAGCTTCTACATCATGTTCCTTTAGGGATTATCTTAATAACCTAAGTAGCAGATCAAATCCATGATTTCACATTCTTAAAACAAGAGGACAGTTTTTAAAAATTCATCAATGTTAAGAGAAATGTTATTAGAGGCCACTAGCAAGGTAGGTGGCACTGGACTATGGCCAAGGAGAGCCAGGGGCCAAAGCATAGCCCACATGCTTGGCCAGGAGGTGGTCATGGTTTGACTCTAGCTGCACAGCCTCAGGCCAGACTCCAGATCTTGCTGAGCCTCTCCCCTGATGGCCACTCAAGGTGGCCACTGTCAATCAGTACCACAAAGAGGGCCTCAAGGGCGGCATGTACCCCAGCATGGTCACTCCAGAAGTGGTGCCATGCTGGTCCTGCTGCTGCCACCTATGATGGCGATGGGAAAGAGAAAGGAATATTGAAGGCAAAAGAAGTCTGGGAAACCCTGGGTGCCCAGACAGTACCCACCGTGAGACTCTGGAGCCCATAGATCATCTCTGCCTGCTGTTCTAGGCCCTAAGAGCATGGAAACTGATGCTAATGCTTGTAAGGTTGGTTTTGGACCAATCTGCCCACTAACACATGGAGAAGGACAGAAGAGTGTTCCGGATGAGTCAGTTTCACCTTATAGTCCTTCACCTATTAGCAAGAGGCTCATCGTTACAATGGAATCTGGTAGACTGTCCCCCAGCCAGCCTGCCAGGCTCCATCAGGTTGGTTACTTGTGTATGGGCACAGTTTTCTGAGAAAATGAGAGTCAGGCTGCTGTGACCGCAGTGGAGCCCCTGAGCTTAGGTCTGATACTGGAGAATATAAATGGGAAGTTGAAATCACTGGGCTATTCAGCCTCACACCCACCAGCTGCCCTGGCTGCTGGTGCCAACTATGAAATCCCACTGGGAGTTCTCCCTTGTCTCAATCTATTAAGGATCAAGTGTGGACAAGGCAGATCCTGGAAGCTAAGTGCCAGGAGAGCTACATGGCGTAGTGAAGCTGTCACTGGCTCGCATGGACTCTCAGCCTACAGTTAGATGAAGATCACGCATGAACCAGATTTGAGGCTAGAAGTTTATTGCTAGGTACTGTGGCCCATGCTTATAATCCCAACACACAGGGAGACTGAGGCAGGAGAATTACAAGCTTAAACCCAGCCTGGGCAACTTAGTGACTTAGCAAGAACTTATCTCATAGTAAAAAATAAAAAAATAGGCTGGGGATGTAGCTTACGGTGAAGGCCCTGGGTTCAATGCCCAGTACTACCAAAAAAATTTTTATTATAGGAAAGACACACAGATATAGCTCTTCCAGAGACAAAGCAGTGGCTACTCACCCACAGTCAGAGTCGCACAGGACAAAAGACACACCTGGTGTTTCTGGGATCCCCTCCCAGTTTCCAATGCACCCTGCTTTCTTATCCCAGGGAAGGCATCACTTGCTCCTCTAGTTGACTATTTGCCTTTTCTCACCCTCCTATCACTCACAGTTCAGATGCCCACTCACTTCCTATCAGGCAGCAGCTTCAAAGTCCTGTTAGTGCCCTGACTCAGGTACCCACCTGGACTCCATATTCACACTGCCTAGGTTCATATCCACCTTCTCCAGCTCCTTTGCTATTTGGATTTGAGCAAATGACTTAACCTACTTCAGTGGCCTGTTTGCTCCCTGCCTCAAAGTGACCCTGCCCTTTTGAAATTCTCATGCTCCGTCAGGTGCTAAGATCCTCATAGGTTTGGTTCTACACCCCTCAAATCAGAGTTCCTGCTGCCGGGTGGGACAGCGTTGAAGATATAACACTGTTTCGGTGTGCTGCATGATTGCAAATGGCAGCAACAGCATTTTCAGCAGCGAGAAAGAAATGGGAGGGATACTCCAACAATAACCATGTACAAATGGGCCTACCTTTGTAAAGCCGTGTAATCTCTGTGGCCATCGAACTGCGTCAGGGACCCCTTCTTTTTCTGGACTCGGTTCCTATGTTATACTTCTATACATTCTTCTCACCTGACTCATTCCTCCATGGAGCAGTCAGCAAATATTTAGTAATTTGAGTTTCATCTTCTGTTCTCCCCCCTGGAGTTTGTGTTTAGAAGGTAATAAGATATATTCAAATCTACACTACTAGAAAGTTTCAAAATTAAGTATTGGCAGACACCGGTCAGCCTGCCTCACATGGCAATGGCACCAACTGTCACTGAAGGGACAGGTCTTGAACCTCCCAACGATGCATCATGAGTTCTTAACCCATTGGGTGGTGAGGCAGGTTTTTATTTGCTCATTTTCATACATAGAGAAATCAGGCCCGGATGAGTGAACACTCACCCTGTGCCCATACTGAAGAGCTATCAACTGGTGGAGGTTGATGAAAGTCAGATCCAGTTGATTTCAAAACCCATTCTCTTCCCATAAATCTCTGCTGAACATTCTCTCCAGATTTCTTTCGGACGTGAAACCTACATCTTCACTTAATTTGTTTCCCTATTTTATATCTGCAATCTGTGTTCTCAGCACCCCTCTAGCCTCATAACTCCTTTATCTGCTCTGATTCCAAGGCTCAGCTCTCCATACAGACCCAAGGGGCCGCAAGAGTATGTGATAGTATGGTTGAATCTGAAAAGTAAATAGGAATTTCTTTCCTTGCATTTATTTCAGTGTAGGGACCAAACTTCAGGGGAGACATAGAAGGGGTCCCAAGAGCAGAGTATGCTTAGAACAGTGCCCGTCCCTACAGCTATACCTTCTAGTGACTTTGTTCTTCCAACACTGACTAGGGACATTGGTGAAATTCCCTACAAAGACCAGGCTTCAGCCATCAGAACCTTAAACCAAAACCCAGGATGCAAGGTTGCCTCACTGAAGTTTAAGTGACATAGATATAAAAACATCATTATTATGGAAATTCCACAGGAAGCGTCTCTATAGCTGTGAAACTGAAACTCTCTAACCCCATCAACCCCTTTGCCTACACTGGAACAATTGTTTCTGTAACCATGTTGCTTTTGTTTTTGTATCTTTCTGTTAGTGTATTTTTCTTTTAACATTACAAAAGATGATTGTTCTCACTCTTGAGCCAGGCGGCAAACCACAAACCAGGATCTGCCTCAAGGTTCTATTCTGGTCACAGATAACAGCAAGCATGCATCTCATTTCAACCCGTGCTTTTCTTTCTTTTTTTTTTTTTGAGACAGAGTCTCACTATGCAGTTCAGACTGGCTTTGAGCTCACTTTGTAGCCCAGGCTGGTCTCAAACTCACAATGATCCTCCTGCCTCAGCCTCCCGAGTGCTGGGATTACAGGCATGCGCCACCACACCTGGCTTAACCCTTGCTTTTCAAACAGGGCTCTGAGGGGGCTGAGCACCTTGCTGCCTGCTGCAGATCAGTCCCTTCTACCTGAACTACTTTAACAAAAAACAACATAAAGGCTTTTCCGGAGGGTGCAGTCACACAGGGCCTGCTCACGCGGCATTCAAGGTGCCTGCCTGGAGCATCCTATAAAAGACAGGCTCTGTCCTGGGCTCTGGACATGGAAGCCACAGGTGCTTTGCCCTCTTGAAACTCACAGCTGAGCGTCACAAAAATGTATCATTGCTTCAGAGGAAAATCCCACGGGTTGAGAGTGAAGCTGAGCCCTCCTGGGGAGGCCAAAGTTGATTAAGGGAAGGAGGAGACAGGACTAGGCCAGTGCATCAAGACAGAGGAAACGGCCGATGCACGGGCTCTGAGGGGATCCCAGGAACCTGCGAGTCTCAGAAAGACCCATCACCCTAAGCTGAGGCAGCTCAGTGAAGAAATGCTCCTTCCATATTCAAGGCCAGTAGAGCAAGAAGAACGGGTTTCCACCATGAAAGCATTTCCAATGGGACATTCTCCAAACTAGGGTACGAGGTGTGTCTACCCTCATCCCTTTGCCTGTGAGCAGCCCGCCTGCCATCAAGGTGTATGTACCAGGAAGCTAAGTGAATCATGGAGGGAGGCCCCTCACTGGTTCAGCACCTGCTGAGCACCTCATGTTGCATTTGCAATTTCATACCTTTTTTTCCTTCAAATTTTCATAAAGTTCATGCCCCACCAAATCAGGACCCACCCATTGTTAGAACTCAGGTCTTGTGGCTTCATACCTATTACAACTATAGTGTTCTCTGTATTGGGGTGGGTCTGGACTACACAGGAGGAGAACTCCTGTTTTGAATTCAGCAAAGCAGGATGGGAGGGAAATTCCCTTGCGGTCTCAGGTCAGTGTATAGCAGGAGATACCAGAGGACTAGTGGGGTCATCCTTCCATGCCTGGGAAGGGCTGTTTTTCAGTAGTCCTGCTCTGGTTCCTCTCCAAGGCTCAGAAGGACACTAAAGGTCACTTTTGGTTTCCACGTCACATTCAGGAACTCTTGCTTTTACGTAGTTCATTATCTACAACTCAGTTTCCCTTAGAGAAGAGCACATTTGTGCGCACTGTTCTACCACGATAACTTGTTTCTGGTTCATTTATCAATTGATAACCAAACCTTTTACCAAAAGTCTCATTCATCTTTTTTACTCATTCCAGTGTTTGATCTCTCTCTTTTTGAGATGGCCTTCCCACTTCAGAGTTAAAGGTGCAGGACATATGCGTATAAGAGACAGGTGCCTGGGGTCTCAGGAAAGGGGCTCTGCATTGCAGAAAGTAGCCTGTTGGGGCCACCCAGACCTATGTCTCAGTGCTGGGATTTGTCCAGAACTTCCTAGAGCAAGCGATGGGAATAGCTATTCCTGTGATTGTGGGTACTCTTGCTGGGCTCTGGTGGTCTACGCTCAGCAAGTAACTGCCAAGTGAATGAATAAATGTCTTACCCAGAACTATGAGTTCAGAAACTAAGCCAGCCAATAGAATGATAATCATCACAGCAAACAATTATCGTGCTTGCTGCTATGTAAGACATATCATTTTCCTCTGAAATGTATTCTGATACTACTGTCTCTAACGCATGTAAATCATGGCCAATCACTAAGGATGCAAAATAGATACAGCTTAGAGCTGAAAAGGAAGTTTATTACCTTATCACTATATAACTACTGTACGCTATGCTCATGTAGCCCTGATAGCATTCCTTCCTTTTCAGCACTTTACCCAGATTACTTTCAATAAACATACGATTAAAAGTACTTTTCTGCTACTGCCTTTTCCCCCAACAAAAGTCCCTGTTAAGCAAACGCCCGGCAGGGCGCCCCATCCTATACAAGGAGGAAGTGCTATGTTCTAGTTCAGAGTTGATGTTTCTTGGGCCTAGAGGATTGTAAAAGCTCCTTTAGTCCACCTGCACACACCACAGATCTGGGGACCGCAGGCCCGGGACTTATCAGGGCGTTTCTATAGCACTGCATTGTTTGAGGGCCTGCCCTCACTTCATTACAGAATGACCCAGAATAAGATACTAGCCAATTTTAAAAACAGAGAGATGAATGCTGGTGGATACAGGCCAGACCTTACAGCCAGAGAGTGTGGGCTCAGCTCATAGGCCTCTGGTCCCCATTCCTCAGATGAGAGAATCTAGTATTAGGGCCAGCCAGATGCGAAGACAGACTATATCATTTGTGCCTTGGGTCTTCAGGCACTTGTTACCTTCTCCAAGGAGGGCAGGCCTAGGCACACTGCATCTTCTAGAATGTACAGTGTCCCAGCAGAAGAGTCCTCAGAACCCTGCATCCCCAGCCCCAGGGCTGCCTTTCTCCTCCTTAAGAAATGAAACATTCCACTGCTTATTTTCTACTAGGGCTGGAGAGTGATTTCCTCGCCGTGCTGAGTGACTACCCCTCTCCTGACATCAGCCCCCCAATATTTCGCCGAGGGGAGAAATTACGTGTGATTTCTGAGTGAGTTAACTTTTGAAAACTTTTATGATCCTCAAGATAGGATGAACTCATTTGGGGTGTCATTTGGTTTACATTTTCAGTCACAGTTGCCCAGTCCACATACACTGCAAGGTGAGAAATTTGGTTCATAATATAACCTCCACTCCTTTTTACTGCCAGTGCTGTAAAACCTTCAATGCCTCCCCATGGCCTGCTGAATAAAATTCAAATTCTGTAACTTGGCTTTTAAGACACTGTATAACTAAGATTTTGCTTCTTCTATTGCCCTGCCTTCCCCCGCCCCCCATTCAGTGTAATGGTACATGCTAGTGTAAGAAGGGAGACCCAGAGTCTGAAAACACTTTTGATGGCAAGCAAATAATATTGCCTGCCATTCCTGCTGCCTCTTCAGCCTGGTTCCAAACAGCCTATAAGACAGAACTGGGGCTCTAAGCCCCTTTCAGTTTGGTCCTCAATGATAGGGACCCATAAAACTATCCAGGGTATAAATCAACACAATAAGCAATCTCAAAAGCCTCCAAAAATGAAGCAACTGTTTAAAACATCAGCTTCTGGACCCTGAAAACAGCTACTGCCAGCATGTGGGTACCTTGCCATGGGGAGATGGGGAGGTGGATATCTACGCTTTAAAAATGAAATTTTCAGACATTGAGGTCAACGTGGCCAATAGTGGATCTTAGAAGAGGATTGTCTCAAGCTATCATGGGGTAGATCTGTTAGCTCTGCTCATTTGTCCTGTGCTTTGTCACTTACCTCTTCTGGTCCTGTCTGTTCCTCCCTAACAGTGAAGGTGGCTGGTGGAAAGCCATTTCTCTCACCACAGGCCGAGAGAGTTACATCCCTGGAATCTGTGTGGCTAGAGTGTACCATGGGTGAGTGTGTTTCTCAAACAGCCTTATGAAATCATGATATCTATGTTGAAAACTCATGAGGGCAGACAGATTCCGGCTGGTGCAGTGGGAAGGAAGGCACTGGCTAGAGGGGGCACTCTCTCCTCTGCTCAGTCCGTGGGGAATAGGGTGACATGGATGAGTCCCTATAACTCTTTGGAACGGACTTCCTCATGAGTGGAAGGAAGGAAGTCAGACCTTTCAGCCTGAACACTGTGCTCCTGGTGTTCAACGCTCACCCACACCTGGTGCTTAAGGACTATTACAGGATGCAGCACACTACCGTGGCTAACGGCCAGTCTGCCTGGGTTCAAACCCTGCCTCTATCACTCACTGCCCACATGACAGTAGACAAGCTACCCAACTTTCTATATGTCTCCAGTATTTTTCTCTCAGCTGCCCAGTGGAAAGCACAACATAGACTGACAGGGAGAATGAGACATAAACCAAAGTACAGAGCTATGAGAACAGGACAGAGTGATCCTCCTGTGGACACTTCAGGGAGCACCCTGAAAACAGTAGCTGTGTTCTTATCAGAGGCAAATCCAGAAGCACATAGAAGGCTCACTCCAAAAGGCTCCTGTCTCCAACTCAATCAGCAGAGAAGGAAGACAAGACGAGAAGCTGAGACACCAGGCATGACCAGGGAAAAGAGAAAGGGGAAGGGAATGCCATAGCATGAGTGTGAATAACTCCTTCCCACCTAAAGGACTTTGCTTGCCACGTGATCATTTCAGTGAAGCAGAGATAACCCCCAAACTTCTGAAAGATTGGAATGCAGTGCCGGGATTTACTGTCTTAATCATGAGTGCCAGAAACCATTTCCATGGTTTAGATGAAGAAAGTGAACTTCAGCGGACTAGGTTCTGTCATGTGGGTCACAGTCTGAAAGACACATCAATCTATTGCATCAGGGGCTTGTCTTGGACCTGCTCGTACACTTGGCAAACACGCTAACATCTGCTGAAGCTGCCAGGAGCTGGAGGCTCTGGGAACCCAGAGTAGTAGTATTACTATGACCTTGTGGGGCAACCAATCTAGTAGCTGCAATAAAATGTTTTAAAATACAGAACAGGAAGAAAGGCAGTGAGGCATAGTGATTATATGACCCTGAAGTTTTGCTCTCGCTGTTGCTGACATGATAACTTAAGCAATGTACTTAGTCACTCTGACCCTCAGCATCCCTGTCTGTGAAAGAGATAACTTTACCCATTTTAGGGAGCTTACATGGGGATTCCATTTAAAGATACTCTTTACTATACCAATGGAATCAGCATTCCCACAGGGCTGTTATTTTTGTACTGTCTTCATCTCTGTGAGTGGGTTCTGACGTAAGGACTGGAGTGCATTAATGTTTGTCACATGCTCTATTTTTTTTTTTTTTTGGACTGGGAATTGAACTCAGGACCTTGCACTAGCCATGTAGGCACTTGTGCAGGAGCTATATCCCTGGCAGTCACATACTCTAGAACAACCAATATTCCATGCATTGTACAGCACTAAGGGACTAGTGGATATATTTGGACAAACATGGCATAATCATGACCTTCACAGTGAAAGTGATTGTTGGTGATGAGAAAATAGTAAACAAGTAGAACCTGGCACTGGGTCTCTGGGTCTTCTCCCACCTGCCACTTCTGAGGCATTCACCGACCTCCATCTGCTGTGTGCCCTGGCCAATGCCAAAGACCACGATTGGGGAAGGTATTAATATTCACTACGATATACACAAATTTGAAACTGTTGACGAAAAGCCAGGATCCACTCACTGAAATACAGGATCTGTTAAAAAGTGATTTGTGATTGCTTCTGAGTAGGTACCAGCCACTTGCTAACGAAGCATTTCCTGCCAAGCTCAGATCTGGCAGACCCTGGCCTGAAAAATGAGTAGGGGCTCTTTCACTTGGAACAGAGATTCCTTTGAGTCCAGCGCAGCTCCTTGAGAGCACTCACAAGTGTCGGTTCCCCTTCGCAAGTGTATCTGCCAACAAAAAACTGGGCTACAGTGCTACAACTGCTTTTCCTTCCTGTTAAGTGAAAAAAGCAAGAAGCACAAATGCATGCATGGCACAGTGACAAGTGTATTCAAATGTGTCAGGCCTGAGAGGGCCAGAGGAATAAAAAGAAAGTAGAGTAGGGCTTGTTCCATGGGTGAAATCATCAACCACCTTCCTCTTTTCTTGTATCCGCTGATTCACTCAGAACCATCTACCAAGCATGGCATCCTGGATACCACAACAGAACCCAACAAGACAGAGGGTAGTGAAGGTGCTACAGCAGGCAGCATTGGCAGCTCACATTAGACACACGGCCACGTGGGTACACAATAGCACTTTATAATGCACATGCATTATTGAACATGACAGAGGTACTTTCCATTTGGCATTTGAGAAACAAGCCAAGAAAGAGGGCTTATGGATCCTGTATCATTACCCCCGGCACCTGGCGCTTAACGGATCCTTGGGAAATTTTATTTGGAAGATGGAAAACACAAATGAAGGAATGAATGAACGCTGCTCATTAGCAGCTGACAGCCACTGGACTTGAACTTTATATTCACTGTCATGCTAATGGGGCCTTGGTTTCTGTGGGTTGGCACACGCAGTCTGCTCACGCTGTCTCCCTCCTTCCCAGCTGGCTGTTTGAAGGGCTAGGCAGAGACAAGGCTGAGGAGCTGCTGCAGCTGCCAGACACAAAGATGGGCTCCTTCATGATCAGGGAGAGTGAGACCAAGAAAGGTGAGCAATCTGTCTCTCCACATCCAGGCACAGCAGGCTCTGTGACTCATGCCAAGGCTCTATTTCCTGCCCTGCTTTGTGCACACAAATGGGTCCGTGTGTCAGCTCCCTGTGACCCATGCCTGCCCAGCATGACAGCAAGAGGCCTAGCACAGGGCCGCAGGGTTGCTGGGAGGAGCCCCAGGTCCTAACCCTGACTGTGGGTAGGCCCTGCTGGCTCCTGTTGGAGAATTTCCACTAACTAAGAAAAAGACCAAAAGCCAGGGAGTGGCATGCTGGGATAGGCCTGTCCTGTCCAGTCCTCCCAGGTTCTGTGGCTTCTCTGACACGTTTCCTCATCTGGGACATGGAAAGACAGGCCCTTCCTCATAGTGCTGTGGTGAGATTCAAAGGCAGTGATATTTGTGCTGCTCTTGTGGTGTGGGGCCTCAGTATCAGCGCCCCTGTGCCCACTGTGAAAGGAGACAGCCTCGGGTGAGACCACACAGATGTGAGGTCACACACTTGCTGCAGTCTTCATCCTCACAGTGTCTTGCATCGCTGGAAACAAAAGTAGCAGGACCCTCTCCATGGTTCAGAGCAAGAGCCCAAGTCTGGCTTCAGTCACGAATCACTAGGCCATTACCTCAGTTCCCTTATCTACGGCCTGGGCTTGATGGTGGTAAGGTCCTTAGTGCTACGCCCAGGGTCTAGCGAGGGCTGAGTCACAGGAGCAAAGCACTTCACAGCGAGGACCCTCCCCTACTAAGTGCTCATGGTAACAACTACTTAAGTATAGGACACAGTTTTGAGTTATCTACAAGCTCCTTGTTCTCTTGCTGTCAAGAAAGAGAAAACACAATATTTAAGAGCATTCTTCAGGCACCTACTAAGTACCAGGGCCACTTGGTACTGGGGCGGTCACCAAAATGAGCCCAGCCTGGCTTTAGGGAAGCAGGGACATACATGTGATTCTAAGAGCCTCAGAGCAGCTTTCTATGGAAGGCCTAACTATGTTGAGGGAGCACAAGCTCAAAGCAGAGGACAGACGCTGTGTATATGTACCCTGGGGCCCTGAAGCAGGACACCAGACTCAGGCTGGTGGCCTCCATGGAGGAAAGGACCCCTTTGAAGGGCGTAGCTCATTTAACAGTCATAGTGCTCTAAGGCAGAGAGCTGCAGCAGGTGAGTGGGGAGGTGGCAGGCCTCACTCCCTGGGGCATGCAAAATTCTGAAGATTTTCCACTTACTGCACCTGACCGCCCAGTGTACTCTACTTCCACAGAAGTAATGAGAAGCCACTCAGTGGTGGGTTCAGAGCTCAGGCCTGGAGGAGGGTGAGGTGTGCCCTCAAGATGGCCAGGGGGGCACAGAGGAAGGGGCACACACCCGGACTACGGTCCCTGAGCCTCTGCTTCTCTATCTGCAAGCTATCTGGGCACAATCTCTCCTAGGTTCTTTTAGAGAATCAGTGAAGAAGCTGTTTGGAAGGAGCTTAGCCCCTGCCTGGCACAGACAGCACACACTTGGATGCTGGCTTCTTCCCTCTCACCACCTCCTGAGGTGTTTTCACCCCTGGAGCCCCAGCATGTGTGTGTTGGTGGGGGAAGACCTTAAGACATGATTAAGTCTAAGTCTCTCTCTTTCCATTCAGGGAGATCCAGGCTAGAGGAGGTGACAGTACCTGCCTAGGGCCCCTACTGACCATATGGTCAGTACCCTGCCGGTGCTGAGGGAGAAACACACTTTTCATGAGTTTCCTAGGGATGCCAAAGCCATGTCCAGGCCACCACTTGCTCCACATTTCTGAGACAAGCAAGCTTAAATCACAGGAAGGTGGACCTGGGAAAGGGCCCAACTGTGAACCCCCCTGCAAATGTGCAACGTAGTGGTACTGGGGAGGGCAGGGGCTGAAGGAGGTAAACACCTTAGCATACAGCCTTCAGCAGGATCTAAGAAACACAGAGCCTGATCTATAGGTTGTGGCTGAATGGTGAGCATGTCTCGCAGCCTCAGGAGTCTCAGGGATGTGGAACCTCCCCTCCCCATCCACCACCCAGCATTCACCTCCAAAAGCCAGAGGACGAGGCCTGTGTCCCTGGAGCCCTGGACCAGCAGTGTCACTCTAGGGTGTACTGAGTGGATGAGCGACATCTAAGCAGAGAAGGTTCACGTGTGGGAGCAGCTGTTGCTCACACACCACGGGGGCCATGTCCTGGCACTCCTGTCACATCTCAGCACAGATGGGCTGCCCTGGGGTGGGGTCCCATAAATGCCATTAATCCGTCTCCTCCCACCCTCCGTGCAGGTTTCTACTCACTGTCAGTGAGACACAGGCAGGTGAAGCACTACCGCATCTTCCGTCTGCCCAACAACTGGTACTACATCTCGCCCAGGCTCACCTTCCAGTGCCTGGAGGACCTGGTCAACCACTACTCTGGTAAGCTGCGCTCAGTCAGGGCTGCAGGGATCATGCACACCGTGCCATCGATCTAGCAGGCGGCACCGGGGTCACCAGTAAAGGCCTGTGGTGCTCTCTGGCTATCTAACTTCTCCCTGTGTTAAGGATAAATCCCAGGCTGAAGAAGACTGCGTGTGAGTGCAGCCTTAGGAAGCAAACAGTACCTCATTTTGAATGCACCCCCATCTCTGCAAATCAAACATACCAGGACACCCCTCCATTCATAGCCATAGACAGTTGGTACCCTGTAAGTGGGCCCTTGGGTTCTGGGTCTCTGGGGCTTTGTTCTGATATGACACTTATTTCCCCTTTGTTTGGTTGTTAAAATCCTCTTCAGCCCTCAAGGTCAGTATTAGCCCACCTCTGTGATGGAGCCGCAGGAGCTGGAGTTAGCTGTCCCTCCTCTTTGCCCCCAGCACACACTAGTTCTCTCCGTAGCACTCTGGCCATGCTGCTGTGTGGGGCCTAGTTAACCTGTCCTAGTCTGTGCTTCCCAGCAATTTTCTAGAGACAAGGAAGTATATGTTAGTCATTTGTGTATCCTTCATGCACCCAACAGAGAGGTCCAGATTCCCCAGGCTGCCCAGGGTGGGAGCATCCTCCACGCTGACAGATGTAGGATGCAGTTTCCATGGAGTAATGGTGCATGGCCAGGAGGAGAAAGACTTCCTGTGGAAGCCCTACGTGCCAGCTAATAGTTGGAACTGTGCCCTATGGACTAGGGAGAAAGTGGAAACAGTCAACTAAATTTCCACATACTGGCTCTGGCACCTCTGTGTTTCTTCCCTGCTCACTGGAGGCTGGGCCACTCCGGGCTGTGTATATTTGCCTCTTGAAGCCTTACTTTCCTCAGGGCAACTGTTCCCTGCCTGCCAGGGATGAGCGAGGACGGTGATGAGAAGGGGGCTGGCCCCTGACCTCAAGGGCTTCCTGATACTTTCCACCCTCAAGGTCACTGCTTCCTGACCTCACATGCTTCCTGCCAGTGTCCACTGGGCAGAGATGCCCTGTCTCCTCTCCTGCTCTGTCCCACCAGAGAGGGGAAGAAGTTATTTTCATTCTCTCACCATCTTCCCCCTTCAGTTCAGGATGTCTGACCTTGCACCTATGGGTACCTTGTTAGGATTCTTTAGGATGTGGTGTCTTACACTGAAGATACAAAGGGCATTTCAATGAGAAAGGAGCCCACACAGCCTTCCATGACACTCCTAACCTATGAGAAGCAGCAGGTGACAAAGGAGCAATGGCAACAAGGAGAAGCAGGTCCAAGCTCAGATTTAGGCTGTGAGAACTTTGGATGAGACCTCCCCTCTCAGAACCCCAGGTCCTTATTCCCAAAATGTTGTGGGAACAGCCCCTGAGCAGGGCGTTGCATGATAGTTAAACAGTCACTCATACACCACGTCCAGTGAGCCCAGCACATGGCAGATATAAGATGAATGGTAACAAATATGACTTCTGTGATACCTGAAAACCTAGCTGCTAACTAAAAATGAAAGAGGAAGGGAGTCCTGGAAACAGCCACCTTTTGCTAGGTACGAGAAGGGGTTGTTTGTGGTATTTGGGTCTTAATAACAATCATTGAGGGGTGTGCAGACCACAAGTTTTGCATAGACAATAGGAAACACAACATGGAACTCGCCCAGCAGAGCTCTTACAGGCTGAAGGCCAGGAGACTGCAAGTCCAAAGACACCAAGATGGGCTACAGGACACTGGGAGGATCTGACCCCAGTGCAGAACCAGTGGCTTTCTTGGGCATCGGCCTGCCTCTGCAGATAACTGCAAAGGGTCCTTTCCCCATGCCCACAGCCAGGGAGTTACACTGTCAGGCCTCAAGCCAGTGGTCCCTACTGCCTATGGCACTGCCGGAGGGCACTGATCGCTGTTTGCTTTTCCCCCAAAAGAGGTGGCTGATGGCCTGTGCTGTGTGCTTACCACACCCTGCCTGGCGCAGAACACGCCCTCCCCTGCAGCAAGGGCTCCCAGCTCGCCTGTCATCTTGCGCCAGAAGACCTTCGACTGGAAGAGGGCATCCAGGTAGGTGTGTGTGTCCTCCTAGGGCATGTAGGCAGGAGCGGCCTGTCACATGGAGACCAGGGCCAGAGAAGGCAGGTCCTGCTTTGCACTGACTTGTTCTGTTTATTTCATTGTCAGCTATGAGACTCTCAGGAATATATCTATAGTGTGTAATGGGTAAATTTTCTTATTAGCTGAACAGGGATCCAGACATCCCATTGGCAAATTCAAAGAGAATCAGATCTTAGAATTGCCTGCAAGATGAATAAAACTGTGCTCCCTTGTAAATATTGTAAAGAAATATTCATCAAGATTTACAGTTAGAAGTTTTAGCCATCTGAGAAAATGGGGATTCAGAGAGGTTAAGTGATTTGTCCAAGATCATGCAGCCCACAGATATAAAGAACCAGAATTAAAACAATAATTTAGAGGACGATTAACCAGGATTTTTGTTTTTTTTCTCTTCTCCTTCTCCTTCCTCTCCTTCTCCTTCTCCTTCTCCTCCTGTCCTTCTCCTTCTTCTTCTGCTCCTTCTTCTTCCTTTGCTCATTCTTTCTTCCCCATCCTCACCCCATCTATGTCCTTCTCTTTTCCCTTCCTCTGCCTCCTGCTCTTTTGACTCACAGACTACGGGAGGGCCCCCAGGGAGCAGGGAACTCGCTTGGGGTTGATGAATCCCTTTTCAGCTATGGCCTTCGGGAAAGCATCGCCTCTTACCTGTCCCTGACTGGGGACGAGGCCAGCCCTTTGGACCGGAAGAAGAAAAGCATCTCCCTGATGTACAGTGGGAGCAAACGCAAGAGCTCGCTCTTCTCTGCGCCACAGTACTTTGAAGATTAGCCAGAGGACAGGCACCTGGCACTTGCCCACAAGGCAGAGGTCCAAGCTGTCACCTGGGATCTTGCAAAAGGCTGAGTTCTCTGATTGCTGGGCACCTCATGCCTTCCAGAAGCCAAGAGAAGCTATGTGGAGACTCAGCTCACATCTTCTCTACCCACATCATGACCAAAGAACTCTGCTTGGCACCTTATCAGTACCGCAACATCTTGACAGGCTGAAAGGTGACACGATGGGGCAGTTTCAGAGAGCCCAGCATGTGAACATGTGCGCACCATGTATGGGAGGGACATGGACATGATCAAAGGAAAGTCCCTCTCTAATACATGGCCCAGACACCCTGCCCAAGTCCTGAGGGGATCTTCTGTCCGAGCAATGCTGGGAGGAAGACTTACCAAAGGCAGCGGCCCAAAAGGACGGGATCTGCAGATGCAGCTTCTGCATGAACATGGAGCTGCTTTCACCCGTCTATGAAGACCTTTGTGACACAGTACACCGCCTCTCTTTTCAAGGGACCCCCAACACTACACACTAGCTCAAAGGTCTTAGTAGCTGTGCGTCAGGAGGAATCTTTGATATCCTCACATGCCAGTGCTATGTGGGCATCAGCCAGCCTCCCTGACTCGTACAAGGGCTAGGCGTTGGGAGAGAGGGGGGCTGCTGGCTGGAAAGATGGAGGTGACTGGGAGTGTACAAACTTCTGGGGTAGCCCCAGTCACAGCCACAGTGCAGAAGGTGTACTTCAGCTGCCGGGATGCTTGGTTATTTGAATGTCCCTGTTATTTTATTCCTTTTTCATCTTCTGGAGAGATGCTTTGAGACATCCTACGTAAGAATCAGGCCAGAAAAGAAAAAGAAATAAAACAAAACCCAGACCTCAATAGAGGTTGTACAGTGGAGACAGGGACAAAATGTATAAACAGATGATATAAAAGTGAATGTGAAGGAAACAATCACCCACAGCTTAGGAAGGAATAGGAGGCAGGTGAAGTGACCCAGGATCTATAAGGAGTATGGGATCAAGTAGGGAAGAATGGTTAAACTAGGGAAACAAATTAGTTCTGAAGAAGCAACTCAGCCCATATTTTTTTCTAGGGGGAGTCTGGCATACATGTGAATAAAAACTGTGGCACTCCAGGAAGGAGGGGGAGCCGTTATGGCTCAATTTTGCTGTGTGTTTGGGTAATTGTGAGAGATGAGGGGGAGAACGTGGCACAGGGGAAGCAGGGGTCCAGGCTGGGAAGGGAGCAGCTGCAGATGAACCATGACTCACTCCTCCCTGCTTCAGAGGGGTTCTGGGGAGGAGGGGCGCACGCATATGCTATGTTGCATCTGCTTGCCACTCGCATTCCCTGGCCCTGAGCTCACTCAGCTAGTGGTGCGTCCATGTATGTCCACATGGTTTCCTGCACCATCAGACTCCAGGCTGTGTACACAAGGAGCCACGTGAGATTCCTCAGTAACCCCTAGACTGCTTCAGAAGAACCAGCTAGAGTGTGAGGAATGACCATAGCTGAAGAAAGCAGCTTCTGTCTGGTGGACGCACTCTCTGGGCTCTGATGTCTGACCAGCACCCTCTGCACTGTTTTCTATGTGACCGCTGTGACTGAAGCCTTTGGACAGTGCTGGGGGTTGGGGGATTGTAAGCAAATGGGAAGCATTACACTTCTTTGCTCAATCATGTATTTATTCCTGATTAATGTAAACCTAATAAATATTTAACCCTTGGAATGGGGGAGCCTCTGGATTGAGGCAAATGGAAAGTTCTTCTTGGAGTGCTGTGGGTTTAAGGTTTTCAAGGGAGCAAGCCAAGAGAGGGACACCAGCAAAGTTTGGCAGGACAAGCTGCACAGGTGGTGGCTTGGTGGCTTCCCCTGGGGTACTCCACTGAGTCTCAAGCAAGTGTGTCCTGTGTCTTATCACACTGGCAGGCAGGGTGGGAAGCTGAGCGACCAAATTCTTAGCCATCATTATGAAAACTGTACCCCTGCACATTTCTTGTGATGTCTGAGCTGCCTCTACTTCTAAGAATTTCCTCTTACAGGGTTTCTTAGGTGCCTACGGGCACCGTGGTGCTCTAGGTGCTGGGCTGGAGCGCTGGAGACTAGATGGGGCCTCTGAGATCATGGAGCTTGGTGTCAAACAAATGAGACACTTTGCAACCATGGAGAGTGACAAGTGCAGAAACAAGCAGGTGCCATGTAACACCAGATAGGGGGTGGGGGTGGGGCTCTGGATAGATGCTGAGGAAAGGCCTAAAAGAGGAACAGCAAGGGGCTGGGGATTTAGCTCAGCGGCACAGCGCCTGCCTGGCAAGCACAAGGTCGTGAGTTCGATTCCTGGTACCGGAGGAAAAAAAAAAAAAAGAAGAACAGCACACAGTCCTGAGGAGATCAAGGAAGGCAGCAGCGGCAGTGGGAACACAGGTCAATTCCTGCAGGCACCGAGGGCTGGACAGGGCAGCCAGGCCTGAACTTCTAGGATGAGAGGATACCCTCAGGAGGAGGGCCAGGCAGCACACACAGGGCCCTGAAGAGGAGGGCGCATGGGGGCTACTGTAGGAAATACATGAAGCCATGGGAGGATCTAAGTAGAGGGGTGGTAACACCTCAATCATGAGTCTGAAAGGCACCTGGCTGCTGCGTGGAGGATGTATTTTTAAAATTCAGGCATTGTATTACCTATTGGCCACATATCTAAAACAAAAAGATGTGGGGAGTTTGAAAATAAAGGTGTGGGAAAATTTTCATGGAAAAAAATGAACCAAAGGAAAACTTGCACTGCCTGCTGAGGCAAGATGGGATTTAACTTGAAAATAAATTCTCTAAGAAAAATGCCACATAGAGAAACCTGTTGAGAAGGTACGATGCCTGTGGCCTGTGCTAATGAAATCACGTAGCTCCAGAGTAGGGTGTAACTATCATACGAATGAATGATTAAATTGCTAACCGCCTGTGGATATTTTAATATACAACTCCCAGAAATGCCTAAACAAAGATAGGTAAATAAATAGCAAGGTACATAAATTTTGGTGACATTACATACTTTGTCTGCCAGCGAAGGAGACCCCATCAGGTTGCAGAAGGAGCCATAATAAATATCAGGGGATCACAGAGCCCACTCATGCCCTATGATCATCAGGCAGGAGAGTGGGAAAGTTTTTCAGACAGTGGATAAAAATTCAGTGAACCTAGATTCTCTGAAAAAATTCTTCCAATTAAGAAAATAACATAGGTGGGGCTGGGGATTTAGCTCAGCGGCAAAAGCGCCTGCCTGGCAAGTGCAAGGTCGTGAGTTCGGTTCCCGGTACCGGAGAAAAACCAAAAAAAAAAACAAAAAACCAAAACAAAAGAAAATAACATAGGAATAATAAAGTACTTAGATGTACGTGAGATATTTTTACTTTTCAAAATTTCTGGGGCTGATAAAATAGTGGCATTTTACTGCTAGAAATGCAGTGCATTGATCAGAAAAGCATGAGAACATATAATGAGGTCAGCTTCTAATTTGAGAACCGAGAGAACATCACATAAGTGGGGAGACAGGACAAAGGGGATGGTGATAATGATTTAGAGTCTTGAACATACACCATAGAGAAGATGTGAAATAGCAAATATTGCCTGGGTAGTAAGATGAATGTGATAGCTGAAGACACGAACAGCATGGTGATAAAAGGAGCAGAGCTAAAACAAATGGATTGAGTACAGAGGTCTGCAGAGGGATGCGAGCCCTCTGCAGTGGCTGTGGGACAGTAGGGGAGGCCTCCCTCCCTGTCTGACCCCTCCCTGCTGCCTGGACCCCTCCCCAACCCTGTACATGAGGCCAATGGCATAAGTGGTGTCATACTAAGGTCTAGAAGAAACCAGGGTCCTGGCTGAAGAGACAGCTGGACTTCCCCCTTTCAAGAAATGCCATGAGAAAGAGAAAGGAAGAGAAAAGCTTTTTTACATTTGAAGCTGTTTGATGTTGGCTCTCCTGGTTGCACCAGCAGGGCATTTTGCTCTAATGGGAACAGAAAGAAACCTGCCATCATCTGCAGATGATGAGGCAAGCTCACAGAAAACCCAAAGAAACAATCAGCACAGCATTAGAAGTATTCAGAGAACTGACTCCGTGCACTCCCAAGTCCACTCATCCCCATGCACTGGTGTTTACCAATGAGAATACACAATAGAAAATGACATCATGCACAGTGTCGTCAAACCATGGCACAGGGAGGGTCCTGATTCACAACCATGACGCAAAACTTTCCTGGAGAACCATTCAAAACCCTGTGAAAAGACTTCTGGGAGTAAAAATGTTATGTCCATGGGTCTTCTGTTAATCTCACTCATGGAGAGAAGAGTGCACATAAGAAAGGAATACATTTTTTTCCTAAAATTAATAGATAAATTCCATGAAATAATGCTCAAATTCCCACAAGGAATATTAAAACAAAGTAGAACTCAATAAACCAATTCTATAAGACACGTGGGAGCATCAAAGCCCATGGCCAGCCAGCTCAACTTTGAGTAAGGCCAGCCCAAGGGTGGTGCTGGTGCTATGAGCCTCCCAGCCGAGGGCGGCAGACAGTGCGTCGGCACTGATCGCCTTCTCCGCTGCCCTCTCCCTGCCACTGGATGCAGCTCAGCCCTGCTGCCCTACAATGGGTGCTGGGCAGCTCCTGTAACACAGCGGCTGTGCTAAGCATTGAGGAAGTGCTAAGAGAATTATATTCACTTAAGGGTCAAACATCTAGTCATAGCAGAATTGGAATCAGCTGTGTTAGAAAAACCACAAATGTAAATTAGGGCTGAATTCCTAAAACCTTCTACACAGAAATCTGCTCTTCAGGGTGGAATTTCTACTGTTCTGAGAGCCAGGGAAAGGCTCGGGGGCTAGTTTTACTTGAGCCCTGAAAGATGGAGTGACATTAGAACTGGCACTGGATATATTGACTACAAAACAGGACAAAAGGCCTGGAGGAGGAATGGCGCTTCCTAGGCATGGTGTTAGCCAAGGTCTCACTGCGGGTCCCTGGAAGGTGCCCATAGGGGTAGTGCAGAGTCTGTCGAGGTCACCACGGGGGATGTGGACTTGAGGCAATGTTGTGAGACACAGTGGGATCACTGTCTGGACCCCAGGAATCGCACGATGGAGTACACGCCCTCCTCTGTCTTTGCTTGAGACTGCTCACGACCCCAGAATCCCAGATTACATGTTTGCAGCTAGTCACCTTGCCTTCTGCTGCTACTTGGCCTGAGGGTAGGTGAAATACTCCAGCACTTATTTCCTTTGGCAAAGGCAGGAAGGAATTTAAATTTCTTAAGCTCCTATAATGTGCAGGCTACTTTGTAAACCTTACAACACAACAGCTTCACCAGATCTCAGGAGACAGAAAAAATCATTCTGATTTTAGGGCACAGAATGCAAAGTGAAGGGTTTGGTTGAAGGCTAGGATTCTCATGTAGATCTAGCCAATCCTAATTTTGCATTTATTCTTTTTAACTTAAAACCTGACGAGAACCTCAAATCCTAAATTCTCTGAAGATGATTCAGAAAATGGGAAAACACAGGAGTTAGCTTTAGGGTTTTATTTTATGTTCTTTGACAGGTGACTTAACCTCTCTGAGCCTCAGAAATCTTATCACTAGATTGAAGACCCCATGCCAGTCATTATGAGTACTCTAAGATATTGAAAATGTTTTGTGGTCCCAAATGTGCTAAGTGAATATGGGCCATTGATTATCTCCAGAGACATTTCTCTTGACTGTTTCATCAGTTCTAACCCCAGGATTTCCAACACTTAAAATTTTACTCCGCCAGGCATGGTGGCATCCACCTGGAATTCCAGCACTTGGGAGGCTGAGGCAGGAGGATCACTGTGAGTTAGAGACCACCCTGGGCTACAAAGTGAGTTCCAGACCAGCCTGAAATGCATAGTGAGACCCTGTCTCAAAAAGACAAAAAAAAAAAAGATTCTACTCAACAAAAAATTACCAATTTGTATTCATTCCCCAAACATCTGTCAGGAAAGAACATATTTAATAACTGCTAATACACTGAAGTATTTTAGGTCTTTCAGTTCCAAATAATTTCACATGCATCCCAGGGACTTCTGGGAGCAGTTGTAAAAGCTGCGTCCAAGTGAGTAAAGCAGACGGAGGCTTTATTTTTAAATACACTGCCATTTGTTAAAACAGACTCGCTTCTGAAATTCCCCAGACACCTAAATCTTCAAAAAGAAAATCTGCCTTCTGAGCCTCCTGGAAGCTATGCAGGCATCTTCTAGGTCCTAGCGAGCAGCTGATTGCTGATCAGATGTGGGAGAAATCTTCCAGGTTCAACTTTGGGCAGTTTTTAATACCAAACACTAAGAGATGTTTGCGCTCAAATCTCCTACCATTGACATGGACCAGCTTCAGAAGAACAGAGGAAGAAAATCATAAGCAAAGGATAAGAGAGGGGAGACTTACAAGAAGGGGTCCGGATGAGCCTGTGGGTCCCTGGGTCTCTGGGACACCATCAGGACACTTGCCCATCATCTGCTAACTCACTGAGCCTGTTCAGTGTGGAGCATCCTCTGCTTACTGCAAAGCATGTTGGGTGGGTGCCTGGGGCCCCGTGGAGAGCGGGGCACACTGGTCCCTGCTGTCTGGGGATTGGTCCTGTGAGGGAGGCCAACTCGACACTAAGAGCAATTAGTTACTGATGGACATTGTGATGAATGCTGCACAGAAAGGTTTGGGCAGCACAAGTCATATAAAGGGTCCAGTTCCAGGCTGAGAAATCTAGAAGCCTTTCCAAAATGACAGGGAGGCAGGCAAAGAGAAAGACTGGAGAAAGATCTTGCCAAGGAAACTACCCATAGACGCAGAGCTCAGAATGAATCCAAGGCTCCTGGAGTGGAGGGGGACAGAGTGGAAGGTGGCTCTGCTTTCTGTTGGGAATGGCAGCAAAGCCATTCTAGCATCAGTTATGGCTAAAGATGACCCTTCATCTTCCTTCCTTTCCTCCTAATCAAGGGTCTGGATCCCAGGAAAGCCAGGCAAGGCCGGGGTGTGGTGGCATGACCTGAGAACTGCTAGCAGGTCACTGAAGGATTCAGCCCATGGTGCTGGTCTCCAAAGTTCCCTTTGTCTCCTTATCTTGGGAGACTACACAGTCTCCCCATGGCTTTCTTTGCCTCCAAGATTGTCCCTCTGAAAATCATTCTCCACCCAGCTCTCAGCGGATCTTTCTAAAGAGCAGCTCTAAGCAATTTTCTCACTTCCTTAAAAGCCTTTGATGACATACCCAAGTTCATAGCAGCACTATTCACAATAGCAGGGGTGTGGGGGGCAACCTAGATGTCCATCAGTGATGAATAATAGATAAACAAGACATAGTCTCTCCACACAGTGAAACAGCCCTCCGCCTTAAAATGGAAGGAAATTCCTTAACATGCCGCACTCCAGAAGAAGCTTGAAGATATTCTGCTAAGGGAAATAAGCCAGATGCACAGGGAAAAATCGTGTATGATTCCACTAATACGAGGTACCTAGAGTAGCCAAATTCATAGAGACAGAAAGTAGTATCGAAGTTTCCAGGGGCTAAGGGGCAAAGGAGAATGAGAGTTAATGTTTAATAGCTATGGAGCTTCTGTTAATGATAATGGGATAATGAAAACTGTTCTGGTAATGGATAGTGGTGATGGGTACACTACACTGGGAATGTACATAATGCCACAAAGGCAGATTCTTACAAATGAGTAAAATCCTAAAATGAAACAAACAAAACCTTGTGAAAGTTTCTCATGCCCTTTGGATGAGACCCAAGGTGCTCATGGCACTCTGGCTCCTCTCTGCCCATGCCACTGCCCACCAAGCCTCTGCCCTACACACTTTCCCTGTTGCCAACACTCTGCCTGTAGCTAATGCCCACACAGCCTGCAGCAGGGGACCTTACCAGGGGACCTTCCCTCACGCCTCCTCCTTTTCCTGAGCTGCCCTAAGATGCTCTTTTAAGCACAGTTTCTGTTTCAGTATTTGTACCCCTGCTCCAGTGACTACAAGCCTCCTATGAACTGGGCATGCATTATTTACTATGGAATTTCTAGCATTTAGTAAGTATCCCTGACCAATCAGATGCTTGGTGAAATTCAAAGCTAGTCAGTGACAGAACAATGGATGTTAGGGCTTGTGCTCAGCCAGCTGAGCTATTTCTTTGATCACAATTGCTGTCATCATCAACATCATGGTATCATCATTACCACTCAACCACCATCGTCACCTCCGTCTTCATCCAACAGGCACTTCTAACCACTGGGTAGAATCCGGACTCATATGAGTCCTGTTCTTGGCTTCCACTCACTGACAGGAACATCAAACCCTAGTGGGGCTCTCCCAGGAGACAGGGACACTTTGCCATCTAGCATTTCTAGCACTTTGAACACGAGTACAGAGCAGCCAGAGGAGCCCTTCAGGATCCTGCTACCACAAGTATCTGGAAAAATGGCCACAGTAGGAACCATGCTTGCCACAAAGTATAAGAGAAGAGCAGTTGAAACCAACTGGTGTCCAAAGGCTGGAAGAGCACTAGAGGGCAGAATGACGGCAGGGCACGCTACTCACCATCAGCAAGGCCCTCTGGAAAAGCCTGGGGCCAGTGGCTCTGGTCATAAGAAGATGGATGCTGGCCACATCTGCATCTCCACGGTCCGCTGCCAGGGAAACACGCCGAGGGTCCCCACCAAATGCTCCAATGTGGGTCTGCACCCAGGTCAGAGCTGCCACTTGGTCCAACAGTCCCCAATTGCCAGTCACCTCACTGGACCCTAGAGAAGAGGGAAAAGTGATTCACATTTTTGGATTTTGCAGCTTTGAATTTCGCAATCATGGTGTTGCCTATGCCAGGCGTGTGGCTTCTCCATGGGATCTGCGTGCTTGGTCCCTAGGTAAGGACAAGGGGCTCCACATACACTAAGGGGAACCGGGAAGACTAGGGGCTTTACAGTCAGACACAACCTGGCTTGCATGCCAGCTCTAGCCTTTGCTAGCTACTGCGGAAGAACCGAAGCCTATCAGCCTCTCCGAGCTACAGCTTTCCCATCTGTGATGGGCGAGTGCCATTCCTTGGCTGCTGCTTGGGTCAGAGTATGTGCTGAGTTCCACCACCTGGCTGGCCCATCGGGGAGGAGGAGGTGGGCCTGCCCAGTCCCAGACCTACGGCAAGTAGCTCTCTCCAACGTCAGCCGGGCCAGGCTGGGCTGTGATCCCAGTCTTTCCCACTGCCTCATCCTCAGGCCTTGAAGACTGGTATCTTTTTCTTTTTTTTCCTTAAATATAATTAATAACTATCTGTTGAAAGTCTTCTATTTATGTACTAAAATAATTCAGACAATGTAATTATTCAGATACAGAATGTAATTTTTCATAATTAGAATGTAATTATTATATATCTCAAACATATAGTAATAAACTATGCACCGAAAAAAAGTAAAAAAATCAAAAGCCCCTGAAACTCTACCCCAGTCCCTGGCAACTGCCCTTTTACCTTCTGTCTCTAAGAATTTGACCGTTCTAGGTACCTCATATAAGTGGAACCGTACAGTAAGGGGTGTGTGTGCGTGTGTGTGTGTGGCTTAACTTGTATAATATCCTTAAGGTTCAGGACAGCACACTGTAGCATGTATCTGAGTTTTCTTCCTTTTTAAGACTGAATAGTATCTCATGTATGCATACAACATATTCTGTTTATGCAGTCACACACTGGTGAGAAGGTGGCTTGCTTCCAACTATTGGCTACTGGATGATAAATAATGCAGTTAATAATGATGCTATGACCATGAGTGTACACAAGTTACTTATCTGTAGCCAGAGCATTTTTTAAAAATTTTTAAAAATTTTTTTTATTTTAAAGAAAATATCAAAATAACAAAATAAAAGCAACATAGACAAAAGCAAAACAACAGAAAAACAATAAAAATGATACAAAGTTTCATAATAAAATGACAGGAATTTAACAGTGGTTGTTATACTACATATTGTTATCTTCAGTGAAGTTGCTCAGATTACCAGATGTGTGAATGCGAGATCGATCAAACAATTAAAGAGAATTTAAAAAATAAAAAACATTAGAAGTGATACAGAGCTTCACTAAACAAGATGGTAGGGATTCACCAATGGTTGTTATATTGCATATAGTTGTCTTCACATCAGTTGTTCAGATTACCAGATATAAGCATGCAAAATTTGTCAAAAATGTAAGCATTAACTGTTCCTTTCAATACACCAATAAACATCAGCAGTGCAATTATCCCAGCTATCCTTCTATATACATATATATTATTTTATTTTTTTTTAAGAAAGACTAAAATGTTACTCAGAATATAAGCCATAGACAAAAAAGACTTACAGAAAAGAAACAGATAATAGCACAAAATGTTCTTATTAATAAACTAAGAGAAAATAGTAGTATAAATGAAACAAATTAACATATATGTTAAAATATTTTTGAAACAACTTAATAGAGAATTTGGAGAATTATTTAAATTTCTTCCTACTTCTCTACTATTTTGCTCTTTATTTATACAGTATAGGTATGTATTTTGAGCTTCTCATATAAAAGAAACCATGCAGTGTTTAAGCTTGTGTGTCTGACTTATTTCACTTAACATTATGTTCTCAAATTATATGTATTTGCCCACAAATGCCTCAAGTTTTTCTTTATGGTAGAGTAGAACTCATTGTGTGTAAATACCACATTTTCTTTATCCATTCATCAACACACTGTTTCCAAGATCTACCTATTACAAACTGTGCTGCTATAAACATGGGTATGCATATATCATTGCAATATGATGACTTCAGATCTTTTGGGAAGATACCTAGAAGAGGAATAGCTGGGTCAAATGGAATTTCTGTCTTTAGTTTTTTGAGACATCTCCCCACTGGTATCTGTAGTGCTTGTACTAGTTTACATTCTCAGCAGCAATGTAGAAGAGTTCCTTTTTCTTCTGATTCTCCCTAGCATTTGTTAGTTTTAGGTTTTTTTAAAGATAGTAATTCTTTGTGGGGTAGGATAAGTATCTCAATGTAGTTTTAATTTGCATTTCTCTTTTGGCCAGTGATGCTGAACATTTCTTCATTTATTTATTGGCTATCTACTTCTTCTGAGAAGTGTCTATTCATTTCATTTGTCATCAGTTCTTTTATCTTGGGGGTGTCTAAATATTTTTAGTTCTTTATATTCTGGATGTTTATACCCTAAACTAAATAAAATGAAAATAAATCAAAATCTAAATGTTAAAAAAGAAACAATTTGCTGAAAGATAAAAAAGGTAAAACTCTTGAATACTTGGGTGTCAGCAAGCACTTTCTGAACAGAGAACTCCAGTGGTACAAGAACTAGCACCAAGAATCAACAAATGAGATCATATCAAATTTAAAAGCTGCACATCAAAGGAAGCAGTCAACAGAGTGAGGAGACAATCTACAAAATGGGAAAAAATTTTGTCATTCCTCAGACAAAGGACTAACATCTAGTGCATTTATCTTTAAAGTAGGGATGAAAGTAACACCTACCTTATAGGGAGTTTGTGGAAAAGTAAACCAGTTAATAAGAATTTAACACAAAGAACTTCATGAAGCAACCACCTAGTGGATTTTTGTTATTTTTACTGGATCTAGGTGAGAAGGATTGAAATAGGCTTGGAGTCAAGGAAGCACTGGGACTGTATGTGGCCCTGGTGCACTGGAATGTAAAGCTAATGGAGATCATCCAAAAAAAGAAAGAAATGGTAAAAAAAATATAGTGAAAACATGTACTTCTCCTTGGCCTTTGGGAATACTCCATGCCACCACCTTCCTGAATGTCCTGTGAATCCAGTGCATGTTCCCTGTCAGTCTTCTCCATGAACTTGTTCTTCTCTATCAAACTTTGGAAACCCATGCCCCACTGTGATCTCATCTGAGGCTCACACCTTCTTTTATGACTCTGCCCTCAAAGACCCCTTCAGATCCCATGGCTACCATCACCACTGCACTTGATGACTCTTGGCTGTAGGACAGCAGTGCAGAGCCCTCCCTAAGATCCAGACCCCGCAGAAATCTCCGCAAGCCACCACAGCTATGATGGGCAGGATTCAGCATTAATCAGAAACTATTGACAAGACGCTATATTTCCAAATAATAGAAGAAGAGAGAAAAATCTTGCACGGTAATTGGCCAACCTGCATTCACAAAGCTGAAGAGAACACCAGCTCAGAGTTCCTAACAATACAAATTACTCTTCCAGCTGGAGAAATTTCCAGAATTTCTTCAAATGCTTTTCATGTTCTGCATCTGGTGAAGCCATTGTCTTGACATGATCCTCACCATGAGTTTTCCTGGATTGTCCCTGTGTTCCATTTCTCAGGATGAAAGTGTTTGCTTCCTCCAAGGTCTCAGGCAGCTCAGGAGAGCAGGGTGCCAACTGAGTATGACCAACTACTACAAGTCTGAGAAGGGACATTCATGGCCTGAACTGCCAGTAAAAATGGCAAGTGGAGAATAACCCTGACACTCATTTCCCATATGTCAACTTCCCACTGCATTACAAAAGAGTGCTGATGACATTCTGAGACCCACAGCCTCCTAGGAGGTCAGAGTGGGGTTGTTCAAGAAGACACCTGTCCAACAAGGATGAAACGGGCTTCCGCTGGATCCAGGCACTGCTGCGAGCCAGAGAGTCAGGATCCCAACCACAGGGCGCACAGCCCAGATGCATAAAGGAGGCAGGCAATGAACAGTAGTGGTATGAAGCCTCTCCTCCAGCCCTTTCCTTTACTCAGGAAGAAATAGAACCTTGTGAAACACATTATTTAGATGTGAGTAGTGAATGTAAGATCAAGCTGGAGCCCAAATCCTAAATCACCATCAAACTGTTTGTTCTTCCATTCAAGGACAGCAGAACCCCTCAGGACACTGTGCATGCCCAGCAACAATGAGGTCATAGCAACGTGCGGTTACTGGGGGCGGCCTGGCCGTCTGTCTGGTTCCCCAGCCAAAGCACACTTCCCCTGGCCCCACATCCTGCAGGAGGCTGGAAGGCCTATTGTCCCCGTCTCCCTCTCTATCCCTGCACCCACTCACTGTTTTCAATCCCCTCACAGTTGCCTATGGGCCAGACACCCTTGCCCCATCTGCAGGGCCTGGACTAGGGGAAATGGCCTCCTCCAGTCTGCCTCTAGCCCCTCACTTCCTCTCTGATTTCTCATCTCCACAGGAACCAAGTCCTCTTTTTTATACTGGGTTTGGTTCATCTGTCTTCAGCAGATAGCGTAAGTTTGTCTCACTGGCCTCAGCCCTGATAGGTCCTTTGCTTGTCATCTTTCACCTGTATCTTCTCAAATGTAGCTCTTCTGGTATGTGGGGCTCCCAGGGGACCATTTGTGATCTGTGCCACAGCAACAGATGCTGTGTACCTTTTCAGGGAGGCTGATGGCAGGAACCACTGCCTGCCTGATTCAGGGAGCATCAGGGGCTGCTGCTGAGGATAGGGCAGTGGCTTTATGCTGGCCACAGCCAGGTGCTGGGCTGAAAATGACAAAAGTCCAGTCCTTCCTGGGAAGAGTCCCTGTCTATCTAGGGGCAGAGAGGGAGAACTAATACATGTCAGACCACAAGTGCCAGGCAAGTGCCAGGGCTGGCCTTTCAGGGCAGCTGTCTTGGAGGAGCCACTCCACAAGCCCTAGCATCTTGCACTCATGGACAACAGGCTGCCATGGGTCACAGAAGGAAGGGCAAAGACCTGCATAGAGCACTGGCCCTGCAGAGTAACTCCAGGACCCTGCTCCACTCAGAGGCAAAGCTTGCATGTTCTGCCAGATTCAGCTGAGGCTGGCACACAAAGTGGCCCAGCAATTTTCCAGACCTGTGTTCTAAACTACAGGTTTAATTACTTACAATGAAAAAGGGGGGGGGAATGAACGGCTAGAGCACAAGGAAGTTGGAGGATACTAAAACTATTCTATAGGAGACTGTAATAGTAGGTACACAGCATCACACACTTGGCAAAACCCAGAGAATGTACATTAAGTGAGCCAGGACATAAACCATGCACTTCAGAGAATAATCATGTATCACTATTGGTTATAACTCCTGTGCCATAAAAAAGGTGTTAATAATAGAGGAAACCTAAGGCAGGGAGAAAAAGACATGGGAACACTCATGCTCAGTTTTTCTGTGCACTTTGAAAATTGCTCTAAATAATAAAATCTGTGATTTCTTTCAATGGAAAGGCAAGTTTTGCCTACATCACAGTTTTACTGGGGAAATTAAGAGAGCTGCAAGGCCCATCCCTTTCTCCTTCCATGGGACGGCTGTCCTGCAGGGAGGGCAGCCACTTCCGTGCACATCCAGAGCTTGCCACAGACCTGTCTGTGACAGGTAGAAGCCCTCGGTGACAGAGGCCTCCATATGTCTCAACTCTGGGGCTCCACACTGCCACGGTCTCTGTGCCTTGGTTTCAAGCTGGCCTGAGAAACAGCGATGTCTTTGTTTCCTCTCCATGCTGAGGGGCAGGGCGGCAGGCTGTCAGACACCCAAAGGCTCAGGACGTGGGATGTGCCAGGAGGTCCAGGGAGCAAGCAAAGCCAGGGGACTGTGGCTAAATGAAGGCACAAGACAGATCCAAAGACAACAGAATCCAGAGGGCACTTCTGGACTCTGAGGAAAAACTACAGTGCAGGAACAGTGCATGTTTCTTGTTGCTGGTGTGTGACTGGAAGAGATTAAAGAACTTCTGGCACCTCTGACTGCGCTGACAAAGCCCCTCCACCTTTCTCTGAGCCTCCCTGTTTCCTCTGAGACCTGGCACATGGTTCTGCCTCACAGAGCTGCCATGAGAACCAAGCAAGGCAGCCCCAGCAAAACACCTGGTAAAGAAAAGTGCTCCAGGGCCATAACTTCCCCTGTCTCTTATTGATAGTTTTTCCTTGGAGAAAAAATGAACAGGCAGTGTTAGTACAAGTCAGGAATGAGAGGGCTTGGGAGTTCTGGAAGCTTCCATTGCTACCACAAGCTGCCCATGCTGGTAACCAGAACAAGTCTGCAACTCCAGCAAGCGTAGGAATTCTCACTAAGACTGCAGTCCTGAAATCATAATCCACGTATCCCTCAGGGACAGATAACATATGGAAACTCACTCTCTTCTGTCTGGAAATGTCCTAAGCCAAAGTCAGCCATGTCTAGGGAAAAATTCCCTGGGACCAACGTCAACTCACAGAGCTTTGGATGTCACCTGCCTCACCAGGGACAGGGGCTGCTGGCAACATACTCTTGTCAGACTTGCATATGGAGTGAGGACAGAAAGGCCAGCTCAGGGGAAGGGGCCCTCCTTAAAGAAGAAAATAAATTCGCATGTGAAGAATTCTTATACTCTCCCAAATTTTACAGAAAACCTAAGTTACCATAGTTTTTTCTCACCCTCATGCAACATCAGACAGAAAATGGAGAGCCAAGACAAAGGAAACCACACATAGCCATTGGCTCCCAGCTGCCCGGGCTCCCCCAGGAAAATTTAATTCTGCTCTTCATCCATGTCTCCCACATGGACATTGGACCGTGCACTGCTTTAACCTGCTGCCCATTTCCATAGGCTAAGACTCTTCTTGTTTACTGTCTAACCTAGAATTTTCTTTGTAGTTCTCAAGGTCTTGTGCCACTGGTCTACTCAGACCTCACTCCTCAGCACCCCTGGGCTTCTGCTCATGCTGGGTGTCCATCTACAACAAAGCCCTCTAGTCTTGTCCAGCTTGCTGGTCTTTCTACCTCCTGCTTACCTGCCTGTGCTGAGCTCATTAAGGTATCTCAAGTCTAAATTAGATCCTTGGGAAATGCAGTGGGATCTCAGCCTTTGTCCTTGGGGACTTAGAAACACTTTCACTATCTCCAAATCCCTCTCACATGTATTCTGTTACTTGAGACTCCTACTAACTCTGGACTCCCATTTTACAGAGGAGAAAGCAAATGCTGGGAGGAGAAAAGGGTTTGGTGTACAGTCACATGGCCAGTGACGGGCAGAGCTGGCCCTTGGCTCTTTGGATTCTGAGCAATATTTCCACCCCTCTCCTCATTCCCAGTGAGCTCTTAACCATAGGTAGTGGCAGAGGTGGGAGAAGATGTGCGTGGATGGAAAGTGTTTGTGTCAGAGAATGGAGAGCACAGCCAGGGTGATGAACAGGTTTAGGGGACCCAAATTCAAAGAAGGTAGGAGTCACTGTTCACACATCCCTCACCCCAAGTCCCAAAGCTTCCCTGTACAGAGGAGCATAGGCCATTCCTCAGCATTGCCCAGGAAAAGGCAGGTCTGGGTGAAGTCTGGCTCTGACATTCCTAACCCTATAACCTTGTGTCCTTTATTTTCTCTTCTAAACACACACACACACACACACACACACACACACACACACACACACACACACACAATGTGCTTGGACCAGTTTAAGACACAGTAAATTCTCAATAAGTGCAATTACTATTCTCACCTAGGGGTATTAGCACCACTGGAGGAGGATGTAAACAGGCCAGAATTTCTACTGTGCATCAAGCAAGATGTAGGAGAAGCCAAAGCAGCAAGGCTCTGAGGCTTGGAGAAGAAATGGGTGGCACAGGCAGGGAGGCCGCCTCAGCTGGGCAGGCAGCAGCCCAATGCTATAGTCATTGACTTTTCCTCAAATGCTCGAGTACTAAAGGTTTTGTCCCAGATGGCACTATGGGGAGGCAGGGGCCTTTGGTGCCCCTAGATCACTGGATGTGAGCCCTTGAAGGGAATGTGGCATTGTGGGTTCCTACTCTTCTCCTTCACTTCCTGCTCATGAGGTGAGCATCACACTCTGCTGCTTGTTGCTGCAGTGACTTGCTGCCTTGCCACAGGCCCAACTGGTCATGGACCAGATCCTCCAAAATCATAAGCCTAAACAAACTTTCCCTCTTATAACTCAAGACCATACTCCTAAGTGAAATAGATCAGACCCATATGTGTAAACATCATATTGCCTCACTAGCATGAAAAACTGAGCAAGTAAATAAGATCCAAAATGTACAATAGAGATTGTGAATTGGTGAGAAACTGTTCAAAAGAAAAGAGAAACTCTGATGGGGGAAAGAAGGAAGAGAAAAAGAAAAAATATATTTATACACAAGATAGTTAAGATAGCTATACAGCTAGCTTCTCTTAGTTCAATGAAAAGAAGTTTGTGCTAATATTGTTTGGGCAAGATTTCATGCCTATGTCTTGTACTCTGAATAACTATTTGTGAAGACAATACACAATGTATTAATTATTGTAACTCTCCTACTACCCAGGTTGGAAATTCTGTTTTATTTTTATTTTTTTGTCTTTAAAATAAAAAAAATCTCAGGTATTTTGCTATAGTAACAGAAAGCTGACCAACACATCCATTGATGCCACCAACTCACCAGAACTCAGGAAGCCGAAGACACCTGCTCGATAGTTGGCAGTAACCACAATGAGGTTGCCAACAGCAGCCAGAAAGGAGCCATCGAGTGTCAGCTGTCCTTTGTTGACTTCCTCCTCCATAGTGTTGTGGAAGAACACCAGCACTGATGCGTTGGGGGCCTGAGGGGATTGGAAAAGGGGAGGGGAGCTTGAGGCTGGCCTGTTTTCACGAGGCCCCACACTGTACATCTACACAGCTTCTGTTGTTAACCCTGTCTGAAGGGCACTTAGCCCTATACAGTGGCCTGAATTGTGTCCCCCATCCCATTCATGCACTGAAGCTCCAACTCCTGGCAGCTCAGAGTGTAACTGTATTTGGAGACAGAGAAATAAAAGAATTAAAGAGGTGATTAACATGAAATGTGCTGCTGTGTGTGGGGTTCAACCCCATTTGGCTGGTGTCCTTATAAGAGGGAGTTTGGATCCAGACACACAGAGAGAAGGCCATGAGAAGACACCAGAGACAACCATTTGCAAGCTAAGCAGAGAGGCCTCAGAGAAAACTAGCCCTACATCACCTTGACCTTGGAGTTCCAGCCTCCAGAATTATAGGCAATAAATCATGTGGGTTAAGGCACCCAGTCCGCAGTACTTATCAACTACTGAGCCCTGGTGCACAGATACAGAAACTGAGGTTCACAGAAAGCAAGGCACTGTGTGCTCACTGCAGTGCATATGGCGCCACACCAGCACCCAGGTCTGGCCTTCTTCTATTGCAAAAGATGTCTTTGGGTCCCCAGTAACACCATTCTGTGCCAAGTCCCCACCTTGGTAACTTATGGCTGGCTTATGAAGCAGCTACTCAGGGCTGGCACTGTTTTGTTTACATGTCTTACTCATTTGATCCTCACATAGCTCAATGCAGATACCATATTATTATCATCATCACCACCTTTGACAGACAAGAATACTGAAGCTTAGCACTGTTATATAGCTCATCAGAGCTCACACATCCAGGACGTAGAGGGCTGGGCTTTGAACCTAAGCTAAGCTTTTCATATTAGAATTTTAAGTGGCATCTGAGGGATCTGACGCCCTCCTCAAGCAGCACTGACGACTGGTGTCCTGTGCAAGGTCCTGCCTCCGTGAGCAGCGACTTCTCCACTTTAGGTATAATGGGTGTGGCACACACAGGATTCTACCAACTTTTTGCCATGGCTGACCTTGGTTTGGCCCTCCCTCTGTGAAGACTGTGCAAAGCTCCTGCACCTGGAAGTCTATCAGCTCTTCCACCCATGAGACAGCTGCCACAAGGGCCATAAGCACCCTCATTGAAGAGATAGAAACCAAAACTCAGAGTGCTGGGGTATTCAGTTAAGACACCCAATGCGGAAGGGTCAACTCAGCACCCAGCCCTGTCCTCTCCTCCCTCACATTCTCCCTGGCACATTCCTTGGTGATGCTCCAGCTCAAATACCCCCACTGGGCAGAGCTGTGGATTCTTCAACGACAAGACCCTTTAAGGCCACAGGTAAGGCCAGTGTAGGAGGTTTGGTTTCATTCAATGGGGTCCTCGGTCCTCGGAATGTCCTCGGACACTCAATGGGGTCCTGTCAGGGACAGGATCTATATTTCCTAAATGCTTTGAGTGATTTTACTGGATAATTGTGCCAGCTTGAGAGAAGGATGCTGGGCCATTGTCTGTCACTGTTGATAACAGAGATAAGGCACAGAGGTTCCAGGCTCAGCCACCCCTATGGCAGAAAGGCTAGTGTCAGGACACTGGTGCTCCCCCAAAGGGCTTGTCACTACACCCCAGCCCTGCCTATCCTTGCCATGGCCAGCACTCCTCCCCAAGGCCAAGCCGGGGCCATAGGAATAGCTCAGGACAAAAGGGCCAAGCTCTTATTGTCTGGAAACTTCCCTAAGGGGAGGAACACTGGATCTGGAGTCAAGACCCAGGAGCCAAACTTCCACTGTCAGCAGGGTGTCCTTAAATTACTTAGCCTCTCAGCTTTAACGTCTGTACCTTCACAACAGAGGACAATCTATCTGTCTACATTTTATCAATTTACCATCCAACCATCCAGCATCTCCTCTTCTAGAATTCATGAGAAGGCCAAAGGCTATTTCTCTTGCTACTTTCAGAAAAAGTAGCTGGGACACACAAATGTGAATTACCTCCTCCAGGTCAGTGAGGGAGCAGCAGGTAGCAGGGCTGGTTTGGACTTAATCCAGCACTGCAGGTTTATGGTGAGACTAGCACTGCGCAGAATGGCAGTATCACCCTATCATCCGCCTCATGCAAGGCTCCATATTTCTATTAATGCAGCCAATGAGAGCTTGCAGAGTTTTGGCAGTCTATTATGAAGCTCATTCTCCAAACACAAGCCTAGCAGAGCCCAGGGGAGGTGAGCAGAGAGCTTTGGCAGCTATGGGGATAGGGCATTTTCTAACAGGAGAGCTTTCAAGGCAAATACAGCAGGTGCAGTGGAACTCACCAGGTGGTCTGGGACAAACACATTGAGATACAAGCAATCTTCACTGACTCCAGGGGGCGTGGGTGTGCGGATGCCTGGCAGCCAGCAGCTGGCCCTGAAGAGGACAGACCAGGTGAGTTGCAATAGAAATAACCAAGGAAGCAAACTCCATCTGCCTCCCCATCTACCTCCACAGCAAAGCCCACAGCTGTACTCCAAGGCCTGGCTTCCTACCTGCTCTGTGGCAACTCCCTCAGGATATGGGCGAAGTCAGAGAATGAAAGGCATAGAGTGGCTAGACCTGTCTCTGTCCAGCAGCCCATGGAGGAACATCTCCCAGGGACAACATGCTGACCCCAATGCAAGTGTACTGATCCCTCAGCTGAGATAGAGAAGGGGACATTGGGTACTGTCAGGATGTTGGACTTCTGTCAGCAGGTTGCAGACTCTGCTAGACTAAGGATCTGCCCTGCCTTCTACACAGCACAAAGTGCTAGGGGACAGAACCAGCATCTCACAGACAGTTTGAGTATCCATGGTGCAAGAGTAGAGACCATATCTGGGTCCCTGCATAACTGCAGCATCAGGGTCATTTTCCCCAAAGGCCAACTCAGTCATTGCCCACATTGTACTATCCCAGGGCTACAATGACCCAAGGTCTCCACTCACTCACTACTCAGGACCCACTGGACCCCATCACCTCATCTGTTCCCCAAGTACAGCCAACGGTAAGTTTTTCTAATTTGTATTTATTCTTATTTCCCAATGGTGGAACAGACTTGGATCCAAGCCTCTATGTGTCACTACTGTCACTGTCACCGTTTAGGCTACCACTGCTTTTCATGGGATAACTTCAAGAGTTGCCTAGCTCAGACCTTGCCTGGCCATGGGCCTGGGAACCTGCTCAGCATTCCAGCTGGCTGCAGTACTGGACAGGGAGGGTACCACTGCCACGAGACAGAGCTACAGGACAGGGATGCCTGCGGGAGACCAGTCAGGGGTAGGAAGGCAACCATGGGCACTGTTTCTAGGGCCTGAATGAACTTTAATTACAAACCATCACAAAGATCATTCCCCAGTAATTACCTATTTAAAATGAAAAATTTCAATGGAGGAAATCATAGGATATGAGTGCTTATAGAAAAAGAAAACTTATAATATTCTACCAATCAGAGGAAAACAAGTCTTACATTGTTTCATTGGCTCACTTACTTTTCCTACAATGCTGCATTTTCTTTCTAGCACCATTAAAGTCAGATGTCACCATGGGGTTGAGATAATCACTGTGGAACTGTGCAAGGGGACATGTACCTGGTCTCCAGAATGGCCCATGGGAACCTGCCTGCAGATGCTTTCACAGCCGTACTGTCCTGGATCAATGTCCAGGGAGACCTTAGAAGATACACACTGGAGAAGGTAGAGCCTCCATTGGCCTGGATCCCTGAATCCCCACAAGGGGCAGAGCACACAGGTCTATCCATCCCCACAGAGAGCTGACATGAGCAAAATTGTGTGGGGCACTGATACTGAGGGGTGCCTCTGGGACAGCGCTTAATTGCATTTTAAGTAACAACCCCCCCATCCATTGCTCAAATCAGAATTCATGGCTCTGCTACCAAGTCACCAAAGATGCACACTCCACATGCCCTACCTTGGCTTAGTGGCATCCCAAGAGCCTGTCCAATTCAAGGGCTCTGGTGGCCGGAAGCGGTTGTCTGCCAGCGGTGGGGAGGCATAGGGAACTCCAAGGAACTGGTCCACTTGCTTCCATGCAGTGCCCACCTGAACGGCCTTGGACCTGCCCTGTAGCCGGCCATGAGGGGCTATGGGCACAGAAGGCACAGACCCTGCCTCTAAGCTGAACAAAGGGGTGCCTGGGGAAAGAGGAAAAGGGGAGGTAGCTGTTAGCGTTCAGGTTGCCAGCTTCCTGAGTAGCTTCAAGCAAAAGACTCATGCTCCCCATACCTTGAAAATGTCAGTAGTCCATTCAGACCCTAGAACGTAGGACTAGTCAAGTTAGCTTTCAACAACAAATAGCAGAACCTACTAATCTTTATTTGGCACCAGATGTGTGGGGAGGATGGCACTGATCCCCCCTAATGTTCACTGTCTCCTGGACTCTCAGTGCCATTGAGAAGGAGGTGCTAAGTCACACCCTACCTTTCACCCCACACCCTGGGCATGGGACACTGGGCACACATAATCAGTGCTGGCCTGGAGAAGAGCCCTGTTGTCAAACATAACAATTTCTGTGAGAAAGTATATGGATTGTTTATACTAAGAGGGATGAATAAAGAATATAATTTTCAAGATTTTGCTATGACAAATTGTGCTGCTATAAACCTGGGTGCAAATACATTGCTATGGTATGATGTTTTTAGTTTTTGGAGAAAATACTCAAAAGGGGAATAGCTAGGTTAAATGGGACCTCTAATCCTAGTTTTTGGAGGAATAGCAAAATCTTGGAAACAACCCAAATGTTCATCAACCAAGGAATGGATAAAAAAGAGGTGGTATTTTTATGCAATGGAGTACTATTCAGCTATAAAGAAGGATATACTTGAGATGTTTATAGGGAAATGGATGTGATTTGAGTCCATACTTAAAAATAAAATAAATCAGTCTCACATGTGTAAACATCACATTGTCTCCACAGTGTAAGAAGCTGAAAAAGTAAATATGAGCCAGAATGTATAATAGATATTGTGAAATGAGAAGAAAATGTTCAAAAGGAGAAAGAAACTAGAATGGGGGAAAGGAGAAAAGAAGAAAGGGAAAAGGAGAAAAATACATATATACACACACACATGCACACACAAGATAGTTTAGATAGGCCAGGGATATAGCTCAGTGGCACAAGCACCTGTCTGGTAAGTGCAAGGTCCTGAGTTTGATTACAGGTACACACACACACAAAAACGGATAGTTAAGATAGTTATCTGACTGATTGTATTAGCTCATTGAAAAGAAAGGTTTACGCCTATATTGCTTGATCAGTTTTTCATGCCTGTATCCTGTAATATGAGCAACAACTTTGAAGATAACAATACACAATATACTAACAATTGTTACCCTCCTACGATATTGTTTTGAAATTTAAGAAAACAAGAATAATGAGTGCCAAACCAGCACTGCAAAGAGTACTAAAAGATATTCTAGACAGAGAAAAATCTGACTGCAATTTCAAGAACAGTAGAAAGGAACCATCAAGAATAGCAAGCTAGTAAACAGGTAGAAAAAGTAGGAAACCAATGCAAGTAAATAACATGACAAAGATAAATCAACATATATAGGTTACTACCATAAATGGCCTCAATTCACCAGTCAAAAGAAACAGACTGGCAGAGTGGATTAAAATACAAAATCGACCAATGTGCTGTATACAGGAAACATATTTTACTCAAAAGGAAATCCATAGACTGAAAGTCAAAGGATGGAAAACAATCCTCCATGTAACAGGAACCCAGAAAAAAGCAGGTGTAGCTATTCTGTTTGCAGACAATGTAAACTTCAAAC